TGCGACTACCCCTGCCACTAACCACCATCAGAGCCGCCCAGCTTTTTAGAGCTTCGCTTCTATTTCCAAATAAATAACAAGCCATTTCTTTTGCTCCTGGTTATTTACCCATCTTGTGGGTCTGATACTCCTTGCTTCTCAATCCTCCCCCCACACACACACCAGGGTACATGGGCTCACCAGGAAACAGAGAGGGAAAGTGAGAAATCACCCCCCGGGGAGGACGGCCAGGCTGCAGTCCTTTCTCTCTTCTGCTCCTGGGATTTGGGGCACAACACACATGCACAGACCTGGGGTGATTTTCAAGCCAACGGGTCCTGGACACAAAATGCGGTGGGCCATATGGGAGTCCAGTGCTCATCACTATGCCACCTGCTGGCCCCACTTCATATGTCACCAGACTCCTCCATGGCTGACCATGGTTCAAGTCTCAGACCCGGTGGCTTCAAAATCATGCCAGGTGCATGTGTGTGCGTGCTGGAGTTGCTGAGAGGAGAGGAGTGGATTGTGGCATGACCATCGCTCCTGAGGGGTGATTTCGCACTTTCCCTCTCACTGTTTCTGTCTGCCTCCCACCTCCAGCATATGTGCCCAGAGGCAAAAAGACCTCTCTAAAAAAGAGGGGATGGCAAGGTGTCATGGTGGCTAAGGGCATTGGACTCCCACATGGCTGATCATGGTTCGAGTCCCGGACCTGGTGCCTTGTTTTCTCACTTCTTCTTTCTCTCACTCTGTCCCTCTCTGGTCAAATTAAAAAAAATAAATAAATCAAGTTCAATAAAATAATTCTTTTTTTGTTTTTGTTTTTGAGAGGTTTTTGCCATAGGGCATGTGCATTCGCCAGACAGACAGAGACAGAGATAGAAAGTGAGAAATCACCCCCCAGGGGGGGAAGGCAATGTCACAATCCCTTCTCCATTCTCCTCTCAGGTTCTTGGGCATGCACGCACAGGCGCCCGGTGTGAGTTTTAAGCCACCGGGTCTGGGACTCGAACCGTGGTCGGCTACCTGGGAGTCCAGTGACATAGCCATTACACTAACTGCTGGTCCTTGATGGTTGTGCCATCTGTTCCCACGTGGCCTGTGTCGGCTGCAGCATCCAGGCCGCCAGGGAGGCCGACTTCCGATGCCCGCGGTGCCGTGTGGGCATCCAGACCTGAGGCCCACCGCCAAGTCACCAGAAGACCACCAAGTGGCACCTCCAGACCACAGGTGGACGCAGCAGGGCACAAATGGGTCCTAAGAAACGCTTCCCTTCCTTCCTCTGGAGGGAGTGCAGGCAGAAGACCACCCAGAACTATGGATGCGGGTCCAGGGCCTGGAGCCCTTGGCGAAGGCCATGCAAGAGGTAGATTTCCTGCCAAAGATACTGCCGCCCCAGAAGCTGCCAGTGAGCTGGAAACTCTCAGCGGTAAAGCGGGGGGACCTGCCGTGGATGCCAGAGCCTGCTCGGAACACCCACCGATTACGATTACGGAGGTTGTCTGCGGAGATTAGTTCTTAATGTTCCTGAATGTTATCACCTAAGGGACCCCGGGAACACCTAGGGCACAGCCCCCAAATCGCCTTACTGTGTGGCTAGCCCTGGCCCTCCCCCTGCCACTAACCACCATCAGAGCCGCCCAGCTTTTTAGAGCTTCGCTTCTATTTCCAAATAAATAACAAGCCATTTCTTTTGCTCCTGGTTATTTACCCATCTTGTGGGTCTGATACTCCTTGCTTCTCAATCCTCCCCCCACACACACACCAGGGTACATGGGCTCACCAGGAAACAGAGAGGGAAAGTGAGAAATCACCCCCCGGGGAGGACGGCCAGGCTGCAGTCCTTTCTCTCTTCTGCTCCTGGGATTTGGGGCACAACACACATGCACAGACCTGGGGTGATTTTCAAGCCAACGGGTCCTGGACACAAAATGCGGTGGGCCATATGGGAGTCCAGTGCTCATCACTATGCCACCTGCTGGCCCCACTTCATATGTCACCAGACTCCTCCATGGCTGACCATGGTTCAAGTCTCAGACCCGGTGGCTTCAAAATCATGCCAGGTGCATGTGTGTGCGTGCTGGAGTTGCTGAGAGGAGAGGAGTGGATTGTGGCATGACCATCGCTCCTGAGGGGTGATTTCGCACTTTCCCTCTCACTGTTTCTGTCTGCCTCCCACCTCCAGCATATGTGCCCAGAGGCAAAAAGACCTCTCTAAAAAAGAGGGGATGGCAAGGTGTCATGGTGGCTAAGGGCATTGGACTCCCACATGGCTGATCATGGTTCGAGTCCCGGACCTGGTGCCTTGTTTTCTCACTTCTTCTTTCTCTCACTCTGTCCCTCTCTGGTCAAATTAAAAAAAATAAATAAATCAAGTTCAATAAAATAATTCTTTTTTTGTTTTTGTTTTTGAGAGGTTTTTGCCATAGGGCATGTGCATTCGCCAGACAGACAGAGACAGAGATAGAAAGTGAGAAATCACCCCCCAGGGGGGGAAGGCAATGTCACAATCCCTTCTCCATTCTCCTCTCAGGTTCTTGGGCATGCACGCACAGGCGCCCGGTGTGAGTTTTAAGCCACCGGGTCTGGGACTCGAACCGTGGTCGGCTACCTGGGAGTCCAGTGACATAGCCATTACACTAACTGCTGGTCCCCACAATAAAATAATTTTTTAAAAAAGAATAATCTGGAGAACTGCTTTAGATTCTTAGGAAGGGAAGGAGACGTGCAGAGAAATGCGAGGTGCTCACTGCAGTGTGGGTGTTTGGATCCGGGAGAGCAGGGGAAGCAGGAGTACAGGTAATTCAGGCTGAGCGTCTAAGGGAAGAGACCCACGCTGACATTAAGGGACACGGCCAGGCGGTGCACGTGATTTTCTTAGTGAGCCAAGATCTCGCCAGAGCCTGTCTCGCTGGTTCCCATTAGGAAAGCCTCTCTGACTTCCTCTTCTCACAACCTGCCTGTCCACCCTCTCCTACCTAGACTTACCACCCAAGTTTTTCCACTTCAGGGAAGGGAGCTCCAGAACAAAGTCTCCACGCGTGCGTTAGCCGCAGACCCAGGTAAAAACAGGTGTTTGGTGAGTCACTTACGGACAAGATGTGTAAAAAGCTTAGAAACCAGATGGACTCTGATATCAAGAAAGCACAAGCGGGTGTTTCTGACTGGGGAGCACGCGGCAGAAATACCATCTACAGATCTGATTCCTATTTTTCCTTTCCTTTTTAAAAAAAAAATGTTTAATTAAAGTTTCTGCTACAGGGTACATAGGTGCACTGGGGAGGAGGAAAAGTCAGAAATCCCCAGGGGTATGGTCACACTGCAATCCCAGCATGACTTTCAAGCCACCAGGTCCGAGACTGAAGCCCCACAGCTGGCCACGTGGGCTCGGGCACCGTCACCTCCATGCCAGATTTGACATCTTGATTTAAGTCACTGAGGACTTTCCAGAGTAGGCCTGGGACAGGAAAACTCCCAGCTCCTACTACTGGGTAGGTTACATGGTACCAGAACCCGTGGGCACGAGTCCAGCTTTCAACTTCTTTCTCCAAGACTCACCGTCACAGGCTCCTAAGAACTACTGCGTGCCTAGAAGGGCCCTCCACACAAACCCGGGTTCCAGTCCCAGCTCCCCCTGATATTTACAAGGCACTTGGGTTGCTAGGTCCCCCAGTGAGAGCAGACGACATACACCACAGAGTACCCCTCCCCCCACCAGTCAGTAACTAGAGGAAGACAGGTGGAGTAGTGGTTAAAAGTGCTAGACGCCCACATGGCCAACGGTGGTTCAAGTCCCGGACCCGGGGGCTTACTTTCTCACTTTCCCTCTCTCTCTGATCAAAGTGGAAAATAATATTAATAAAGCTGAGTAAAGATAATTCTTAAAAAAAGACAAAGCATCATCTATCTACTGTGTCCCAGGCTTCTTTATTTAAGAACAAAGTGATGAGTGTGATGGGGATCAAAATCAAGAGCGTCATTTAACTTCGACTTCCCTCCAACCAGCTTCCCCAAAACTCCCGACCGCCACCCTTCGTGTCCCCACCGCCTTCCTTAGTGAATGAAGAACTCGATCCCCAAAGCCCTGGTACATACCTCCAGGCCCTCTCCCCCTGCTCCCCATTTTAAGGAAGGGCAGGCATCTCAATTGGAATGCATGGGAGAGCCCAGAGTGGTGACAGAGACCGGGGGAAAGGCTTCCCCCTCAGGGAAAGGGACCGAGGAGTACAGCGAGGTAAAATGAGGGCTCCCGTAGCCTGGGGTACCAAAATGGGGCCCTGGGGCGAGAGGAAAGGGTACTGGTCCCCCTGAGAAAGGAGAGCCAGCAGCCTCGAAATCTTCTCGCTGCACGTAGTCGCTGCTCGACCTCTTGCCCTTCTGGCGGCGGTTACAGAACCACACTCGGACCACCTGGGAGAGATGACAAGGTGACTCAGACCACCCCGTTGGCTCCCAGGGGGATCTGGCTTCCTGGATGTTTTGCCCACAGCCACAGGAAGAGCCCGAGCATGGGAAAGACTGGGGAGAGGGGGGGCCGCACGGGTGGGGCACTCACGTCCTTCTCCAGCCCGAGCTGCTGGGCGATGTGGCCGATCTGCTGCAGCGTGGGCTTCGGGCACTGCAGAAACATATTCTCCAAGTTGCCCCGCACGCGGTTCTCGATACTGGTCCGCTTTCTCTTTCGGGCCTGCACTAGGGTCTCCGCTTTGCATATCTGAGCAGGTGGGGAGGTGGGGAGTGAGATACCACAGGCTTTGGCAACAGAGTCCGAGTCGGAGTCGGAGACTCCAGAGTGAATCGCTGCAGGAGCCATGATTGGCTGTGCCAATCAGAGCCAAATGATGTGAATAAGAAGGGCCCCATGGGGTCAGCAGGTGGTGTGGCGCTGGACTCCCACATAGCCGACCGCGGTTCAAGTCCCAGACCTGGCAACTTGCTTCGTCACTTTCCCCTTCTCCCTCTGATCAAATTAAAATATTAAAAACAATAACAAATGAAATGAAATAAATAGTTCTTTAAAAATATAAATAAGGGCTCTGGTGCATGCTTCAGGTCAGCGGTCTGGACCTTCTCCCAGCAGAACTGAGAAGTTCTACATACACTATTCCCGTGAGAGCCCTCGCTCTGCAGAGAGAAAGCAGTAAGCCAGGGAGGGGGGGCGAAGGAAATCGGGCTGAAGTGCACCCCTCCCGTCCCCCCTCACCTCCTGAAGATTTTCGTTGTTGTCGGCTTCCTCCACCCACTTCTGCAGCAGAGGCCGAAGCTTGCACATGTTCTTGAAACTGAGCTGCAGCGCTTCGAAACGGCAGATGGTCGTCTGGCTGAACACCTTCCCTGGGGAGGGGGTGAAAGAACCAGCATGAGGCTGGACTCAGGGCCCCTGTGGCCTTCAGACCCAGGCTTGGCCACCTCTCCCTGTCCTCTGAAGATCCCACCTCTTCCCAGAGGAAGCTCAAAGTCCAAGGGCCTTTTCCCCACCCCTCCACCCTTCCCTTCCCTCCTGCTCTCATGGGCGAGGCCAGAGCCTGCCTGAGACTCCCTCCCACACTCCCTGGGGGGGGGGAAGGAAAGGCCCTTCTGGGAGAGATGTCCCCCTGGGTCAGAACGTGCCGAGAGGGACCCACCAAAGAGAACCCCCAGGGTGAGCCCCACATCAGCCTGGGTGTATCCTAGGGTGATCCTCTTCTGCTTTAAGAGCTTGGCAAACTGCTCCAGTTCTTTCTGCAGCGCTTCGATGTCCTGCGACTGCATTTCAAAAGGCAGAAGACACGGCGAAACATGAAACATCTCATTTATACCCTCCCCTCCCATCTGGTCCGAGAACCTGACCGTGGCCCCAAGGAAGGCTCTGCGGGAGTAGCCCTCGCTCACAGCTGACAGCTGGAAATGAGCTGTCTACACCATCCTAGTCACTGCTCAGACTCGTGCATGTGACAAGGGGCTGCTCACCCCCCAGACTGGCACATCCAGTAGAAGGGGGACCATGCAAGGGTGAAAAGGCAGGTCCTGGAGCAGCAGAGGTGCTTCTCCACGAGGACGCCTGTCGAGCTGCGAAGCCCGCTTGCTCTCACTTTATATAGAGTCTCTGTCTCAACTCTCACTCCTAACTTGAGGAAGTTGTGAGAAATAAAGACCACCACGTCTGATTCCTTCAAAAAAAATAAAAAGAATTATTGGGACCAGCAGTTGGCGTAACGGCTATGTTGCTGGACTCCCATGTAGTTGACAGTAGTTCAAGTCTTGGACCTGGTGGCTTAAACTCACACCAGGCACATGTGTGTACATGCCCAAGATCCTGAGAGGAGAATGGAGAAGGGATTGCGGTGTGGCCATCCCCCCTGGGGGGTGATTTCTTGCTTTCTGTCTTTCTGGTGAACACCCACGCCCTGTAGCAAAAACTCTCCAAAAAGAAAAAAACCTGAATTTTTATTTTTAAAATTATTATTATTATCACTATTATTATTATTATTATTATTGGAGAGGTTTTAGCTACAGGGTGCATACACTTGCCAGAAAGACAGAGAGGGAGAGAGAAAGACAGAAGGTGAGAAATAACCCCCCACCCCAGGGCGGATGGCCACGCCGCAATCCCTTCTCCTCCATTCTCCTCTCAGGATCTTGGGCACGCACACGCACACACACCCAGTTTGAGTTTAAGGCACACACACCCAGTTTGAGTTTAAGCCACCGGGTGTGGGACTCGAAACAGTCGACTACATGGGAGTCTGGCAACATAGCCATTATGCCAACTGCTGGCCCCATCATTATTATTTTAAAGAATTATTTATTTAATTACATTTGCTTTGTTTTTAAGAGATTTTTGCTAAAGGGCGTATGCCAGAGAGTCTGAGACCAAAAGCAGAAATCACCCCCTGGGGTGGGGGGGATGGCCAGGCCACAGTCCCTTCTCTATTCTCCTCTCAGGATCTTGGGCACACAGGCACATGCACCCGGTGAGTTTGAAGTCTCTGGGTCCGGGACTCAAACCCCAGTCAACTACACGGGAGTCCAGTGACATAATCATTACACCATCTGCTGGTCCCCATCATCATCATTATTATTATTTTTAAATTTGACCAGAGGGAGAAAGGGAAAGGGAGAAAGCAAGCTGCCGGGTCCGGGACTTGAACCGCAGTCGGCCATGTGGGAATCCAGCACCTTTACCCACCACACCATTATTATTTTTTATTTTGACCTGAGAGAGACAGAAAGAGATTGAAAGATACAGTAAGAAAGCAAGCTGCCAGGTCCAGGACTCAAACCCTATCAATCATGGTCTAACAACCACACCACTTGTCAGCCCCACCATGTCTTATTCTAAATGCAATGTACTGGGGACCAGCAGCTGGTGTAATGGCTACGTCGCTGGACTCCCATGTAGTCGGACTGCAGTTAGAATCCCGGACCCGGTGGCTTAAACTCACATCAGGTACGTGTGTGCATGCGTGCCCATGATCCCGAGAGGAGAATGGAGGAGAAGGGATTGCGGTGTGGCCATCCCTGCTAGGGGGTGATTCTCACTTTCTGTCTCTGTCTTTCTGGCAAGCGCACACACCCTAAAGCAAAAACCCCTCCCCCTTACAAAAATGCAATATATTAGTTCTTTGTTTTGTTCGTTTGTTTAAGAATCATTTATTTATTTAATTCCATTTGTTATTGTTATTTTTTAATTTGACCAAAGAGAGAAAGCAGGCCGCCAGGTCCAGAACTCTAACCAAGGTCAGCCATGTGGGAGTCCAGCGTAATCCACCATCCCACCTGCTGGCCCGAAATATACTATTTCTAAATAGGGGAAGGGGAAGCCAAAATCTGGAGTGTTTGTAAAAGAAAATGATGGTCAATGGGATTTTACCTTTTGAGGTTTTTTTTTTTTTTTTTAGGTTTTTACCATAGGGCATGTGTGCTCACCAGACAAAGACAGAAAGGGAAATTGAGAAATCACTCCCCAGGTCACGCTGGAATCCCTTCTCCTCCACTCTCTTGGGATTTGGGGCACACACGCACACAAGGCACCTGGCATGATTTTCCAAGCCTCTGGGTCCAGGACTCAAACCGTGGTCTGCCGTGTGGGAATCCAAGCGCCTTAACCTCCATGCCACCTACTAGCTCCAGATAAATGTTTAAGGAGGTGTTTACTGCCCTGATTTGATGGCTATACATTATATTCCCAGACTGAAAAACCACGGTACCCTTTAAACATGGACAACTGTTACATGCTAATTAAAACGCACAAGCCATCAATTCCCTGTGCTGTGAACCCCGCTTCGAGGGGCCACAAACTATGACATAGCATACGTCTACACAAACGCACTGTAACAAGTCCTAGGTATTTATGAGAGGGTTGGATAGAGTGCTTGGAATATGCACGGTGCCCATGTTTTTATTGAAAAGTCTGATCATCCCTTCCTTTTGTAAGAGAGGGCTTCACTGTCTCCTTCCTGAGGAGCTGGGCTGCTGGGTGCACAGCTGCCGGGCTCTGTCACCTCTTCTTTCTCATGGATCTTTCTGCCTATAGAAGCATCCTCCTTGAGTGGAGCAGACTGAGAGCGCCTTTCGCCACGGCTGCTACACAAGGTAGACAAAAACCCTGGCCACGTGGAGCTCACACCTGAGTGTGCTGAGACCATAATTATCCGCCTGAACACCAGTGCTATGGCAAAGAGGGAAGCAGGGTGGGAGGGGGGCCGCGGTGGTTGAGGGCGTTGGATTCCCACATGGTCGACCATGGTTCGAGCCCCTGGCCTGGCAGCTTGCTTTCTCACTTTCCCTTTCTTTTTCTCACTCTTCCTCTCTGGTCAAATTGAAATAAATCAATATATAAATAAATGCATTTAAAATAAAATAAAAAAAAAAAAGATGGGGCTAGCAAACCACGTTTTGAGTCCCAGACCTGGAGGCTTGCTTTTTCACTCCCCTCCCTGCCACTCTAGCCTTCTCTGGTCAAAGTAAAAACTACATCTTTCTATCTATATAATTAAATAATTCTTTAAAAAATAACACATAAAAAGATGTCCAAAGGTGGTGACGTTTAGCTAAGGGGACGCGCCAGTGCGAGGCCCTGAGCAGCCCGTGCCGCGGGAAGGCAGCCAGCGGGAATGGGAAGGTTCGGAGTGCACGGGGCGGCTGTCCAGGTCCTGCAGCAGCTGCAGTGACTGGCTGGGTTTACTCACACGAGGAGCCACTGAAGGGCTTTATGGAAATGAGATCTCACATTTTGGCTTTCGTCACTTTTTACAACAGACTTAGTCGATGGCCGCCGACTGTAAAGCGACGCGGGCTTAGCCAGGCAGGCCACTGCAGGGACCCCAGCACAGAGGCCGGGATCTGAAAGCGGGGGAGGGCACGGCTGATCCGAGGCATGCTGGAGAGGTAGATAAGAGAGTTCCGTGCGGATTGGATGAAGGAGGTGACCGCAACCGACCGAGATTGGCTTTGGCCTCCAGCAACCGTGCGATGGGCTGGAATGGATCTGGCATGGATCCGGGGCCACCAAAGCTGGAGCTGGAAACCGCAATAGCCACTAGACGTCCGCGTGGAATTTAAGCCTTGGAGGTGATGAGAGGAAGGTGGGGAGACCGAGCAGAGGCCGAAGCACCGCGCACCGGGGCACGGAGGACACTGAGCCAGCCGGAGGGGCCAGAGAGAAAAGCCGGCCGTGTGGCCCACGGTTTCCACGGCAATCGGTTGTATCAAACAGACTCATCTTCACTCCCCACTTGGGCTCAGCCGACAACGCCAAGTTGGAAATGCCCTCGGCTGTCTCCTCGGCTTTTCCAAATCCTAGCTGGGGATTCGGAGCGAGGCCCACCCATGTTCCAATCCCTACTTCATCGCTGAGCAGTGGAGACCCGCGGGATAGGCTCACCGGCCCTCCCTGGGCGATCGCCCGGCTAATGAGATAATGATGGACGAGCCGAGCACACCGCCCGGCACTTAGGAAGTGCGCCAAGTGCGCCGCAGTGGGCAGCCTTTATCATTCAAGGCCCTGCCGTCGCCTCCCGCCAAGAGTCTGGGCTCCTTCGGGCTGCAGCAACCACTCACACCTGCGAGGGCCCAGGGCCCTACTCCATCTCTGATTGCTTCCACTTGTCGCTTCAGAGGACGGGGAGACTCAACTACGAGCTCCCAGCGGGGCTGGACGTGGAAGGCCTCGGTTCCCTCCGCACACGCACTTGCAGAGCGGCTTGGAGAGAAGTTCTCCGGGGCCCAGCCTGGGTCCTCCTTCGCCAGGGTGTGCACTTTCCGTAAGGCTGACTCACTGACCCGAGGCAGAGCCGGGGTCGGACAAGCCCTAAACTTGACTGCAGGTAACCCAACTCCGCACATCCACACTCGGCCGGCGGGAGCAGCTATCAGAAGCCGGTCACACCCTAGCCTTTCGGGAACAATGAGGCAGGATAAGCGCTGTTTGTACCCTCAGGTCACGCTTAACCCAGAGGCCAAGATCCTAGGTCAGACAGACAGTTTGCAAGAAGGGCCAGGCATGATTAAAGGGACTCAAACAAACCCCATGCTGGGTCCGGGGCCAGGCTGCAACGGGCCGGTGACCTGAACCTGGGCAGGCCTTTGCTTGACAAGGGCCAGCCTGGGCCACCCCGACTCCCAGGAAGCCCCTGACCTCACCTGTGGCTCCCACTCCAAATTCCGCCTTCTCCTCCCCACCTTGCCGCTGCCTCCCGGGTCGGCCCACAGTCCCCGCAGCCCTCTGTGCCCAGGGCAGCCGGGTTCCAGGCCTGGGCACCTGCAGATGGCCATTTCCCCTTGTCAGGGCTGCTGCCCACAGGGCCCCTGCCCACACCGTCCCCTCGCGGCTCACTTGCCTCCTCGGGGTTTTGCTCCGGGCTCTCCTTCTCCAGCTTCACGTCAGCAAGAGGGGCAGCACAGGGCTCTGGGGAGGCCCCCTCCGAGTTCCTCTCCCCCCCTGCTCCCACCTCGCCTTCAAGCTGGGACATCTCCAGGCTGTTCGGGGGCACCAGCCCCACTCCGACTGGAGGCCCACAGTAAGCCATCCCTCCACAGAACTCATAGGGTGGGGGGCATGGAGGAATCCCCCACATCTCAGAGTCTGGCCCAACCCCGGGCCGATTCCTGGGCCACCAGGAGGGCCTTGGAAGCTTAGCCAGGTCCGAGGGTCAATCCAGCCCGGCTCCGGCCCCCCTGGCCCATCCCCTCCACCTCCTGGCGGGGGTGAGAAGGCGAACTCTGAAGCTGGGTGCCCCGCCATGGGGAAAAAAGGCTCCCCAAGCCGGGGGCCTGGAGGAATGAGGGCTCGCCCGGGGACTGCTCCTCACCTCTCTCCCTCCCAATCCCACCCACTAGCCTTGACCTCTGGCCCCGCCCCCTCGATGGGTGGAGAAGATGGTGGGGGTGGGAGAAACTGAGGCGGAGGGTGTTTGCCTGAAGGCAGCCTGGGTGTACGTCGTTGGGAGAGCCAGGGAGACCGGGCCGGGCGCCCCTCCAAGCCAAAGTGCTGACCCCCATGGACCTTCCCGTTCAGCCCCCGACAGACTGGCCGCCCCGAGCCCTGCACACCCTCTTCTGTCCCTGTTCAGGACACTGGGTGCCTGACCTGCTCTCCAAAGACGCCTGGCACCGTCCCCTCCCTGGGGCCCAGCTGCCTCTCCGCTCCCCCATGTTCACGTGCCTAGGACTTCTAGGGCCACCCCTAAGCCGTCCACGGCCAGGTGCACACTGGCCTGCTGCCCTGACTGGCCCCCTCCACCCTGCCGGAACCCTGACGTTCCCATCCAGACACTGGCCAAGCCCTGTTATCTGCAGGCTCGATGCCCGGCTCCCGGTCGCCCAGCAAGTCCCACCCATGCCAGGGCAATGGCAGATGAGCCTCCATCCCACACCCCAGCTTCTGGCTCCGGTCTTCTCTATCAGACTCTGAGACTCCGAGACTGACCCCGCTTCCCCCTTGTAAGGGCTAGGCCGGATGGACTGGGCTGAGTTTCCCAGACAGAAGGACCTGCACCCCCTTAGGCCCCCCTGCAGGACCCGTGCATCAGGCTTCTCCCACCTCAGCCCTGCTCTCCCTCCCCCACCGCTCCAGCCCTGGCCTCCAGCCCTAGGCCCTGGGTGGGGAAAACCAAGGGGGGGGTGTTGAGAAAAAAAAAAATCTGACTTCAGGTTCAAAGAGGCCTGGGAGGGACTGGGGGGGAAGGGGGCAGGACAATGGCCTTGGCTGGACAATCCCGGTCCCCAGAGGGGGCAGCGCTAACCCTAAACAAGTGCTCAACCCTTGAATGGGCCTGGATGGCTCCCCTGGGGACAGCTTCCTGCCCCCCAACCCCCAGCCCCAATCCCCTCAGAGGGGGCTCTGGGTGGCTAAAAGCAACTCCAGCAAACCCCCTTCCCAATCCCCTCAAAGCCTGAGCCTCAGACAGGCACTGAAGGCCCCCCACTGGGGGCGAGGTATCCCTTTACCCTTCCTAGGGGGACTCAGGTCCAGCCTCGTAATCCCCTCCCCCAGGCCACGGATGTGCTCTGTCTAGGGGGACTGGCTGGAGGGAAGGAGCCCCAAAGTAGAGAGTGACTGTGTGTAGGGGTTGTGCGAGGAGGGCAGCCAGAGCTGTCCTGAGAGCTGGCACTGCTGGCCTGGGCCTCCACCCTGTTTGCAAGAGAATGGCCTTCCAGTGCCTGTCTGCCGGGGAGAGTATTTGTCTGCCCCCTAACGTGCCCCAAAGCAGGCCCTGGGGAAAATCGGGGGTCTTTAGAAAGGCTCTGGCCACAGCTCCCCGAGGCCTTGAAGCCCAGAATCCCCATGAGGGACGCGGACTTCTGCAGGTCGCTGGCTCCAGGCTCCGCCCTGGCTGGGGCTGTTTGCTGTCGCCTTCTGAGGGTCCCTGTGTCCTGTGGGTGCGACCCGGACTGGCCAGCTGCAGTCACCTTGCCGGGATCTGCGAGTCCTTCGAGCATCCAAGCTGTGGCCCTGCACGGTCGCGTCTCCCACCTGCGCAGACTTTGGGGCGCCTAACTGCTCGCACGCATTTCCGGATCTAC